AGAGATTACCATGAAAGGGAGGGGAGCCAGAGTTCATGCAGAGAACTTCCCTATTTCCATAGGGAGAACCCCCTACACCAGTGGTATTGCGGAATATTTAACTATGCAAAGATGTATTGCATTTGTTTAAATATGCAAAGATGTGTTGCATTTAACTATGTAAGATGTATTGCTATTTTATCATGCCTACCTAAGGTACCTGATTGGTCTAATAAAAAGCTGAATGGCCAATAGTTAGGAAAGAGTATGTATAGGCAGAGCTTCTAGGCAGAGAGAGTAAATAGGAGAAGGAATTTAGGCTTGGGGAAGAAGAAAGAAAAGGAAATGACAGACACCAGGGACAGGCCAGCTAGCCAGACATGGAAGAAGCATGAAAGTAGGACATACAGAATGAAAGAAAGGTAAAAAGCCTGAAACAAAACATAGGTGAATAGAAACAGATTAAATTAAGTGAAAAGAACTAGTGGGACAAGCCTAAGCTAAGGGAAAGCATTCATAATTAATAATATGCTTTTGTGTCTTTATTTGGGAGCTGGTTGGCGGCCTAAAGGAAAACCCCAACTACGCAGTGGTTCTCAACATATAGGTTGCTACCCCTCTGGGGGTTCAAGCAACCTTTTGAAGTTATCCCATATTAAATACCTGCATATCAGATATTTACATTATGACTCATATAACTAGCAAAATCACAGTTATGAAGTAGCAATGAAAATAATTGTATGGTTTGGAGATCACCAGAACATGAGGAACTGTATTACAGGGTTCCAGCATTGAGAAGATGGAGAACCATGGCTCTAGACCTAAGGATCCTAGGCAGCACTGTGAAGAAGAGCTATGTGAGGAAGTGCACCCTGACACTATAATCTCATTCAGTTCTGGCTAATTGGTTATGGTTCTGAGCATTCCCAACCCACAGGTCAGCCAGGTACAGTCTTTGGGAGCCCTGTCCTCATCGCACAACATCTTTTTGCAAGGCTGCTTAGGTTTGGGCAGGGCTCTGCTGGATAATTCTAGATTAAATAACCGGTCTGAAATGTTAAAGTGTGATAATATCCCAGCTAGGTGACTCTCCCCTAGTTGCTGTTCCTTGGCAGGGGTGGCAGGGTCCTCTAGGGTCTTCATTTGTCTAGTTCATCAGCAGGGCTGTTTGGAAAATGTGAGCAGGACCAGGTGGCAGATGGAAGGATCTGCTGTGTCCCTGACCATGGTATTTTCTCCTGGGCAGAGTGACTGATCCACTTCACTCACACATCACACAGTTCCAAGTGCCAGAGTTGGGCATAAAGTTTGTGTCCGTCCTTCCTTTCTTTCTTTCTTCTTTCTTTCTTTCCTTTTTTTTTTTTTTAAAAAAATGTTTTATTTTTATGAGTGTTTGACCTGCATGTATATATGTATGTTTTGTGTGTGCCTGGTGCCCATGGAAGTCAGAAGAAGGTGTTGGAACCCCTGGAGCTAGAGTTACAGATGTTTGTGAGCTGAGATTTGAAATTGAACCTGGTGTCTCTGCAGGAGCAGTAAGTGCTGTTAATGGCAAAGACATGAAGTTTTGTGTGTATGTGCTTGTTTATATGTGTGAGCATGCGCATATGTGTGGAGGTGAGAGGTCAACCTTGAATGTGATTCCTTAGGTGCTTTGTCTTTTGAGACAGGGGGTCTCACTTGTCCTGGAACTCACCAAATGGACTGGGATGACTGGGTTGTAGTCCTGGCTGTCCTGGAACTATCTATGTGGATCATGCTAGAGGGTATGTCCTGAAATGTGAATGAGACCATGTTGCTGTCTTGTATTATGGATCTCCTCATGGATGGTGAGTTAAATACAAAACTTCTCAGCACTGAATTTCTGAGTTAGCCTACATTTTCGAATGAAACAGTTCTCACCTCAAATGGTTTATTCTGGAGCAGCTGTGAGTGACTATGGTATGGGAACATGATAGAAAGTTCTAACATAGAAATGTTTTATAGTAACAGAACAAAGAGTTACAAATCAAGACATTAAAAAAAATGCAGTGTCGTCGGGCGTTGGTGGTGCACACCTTTGATCCCAGCACTCGGGAGGCAGAGACAGGCAGATCTCTGTGAGTTCAAGGCCAACCAGTGTCCCGCGCGCTGTATGTTCTCGCCGGCAAGAAATACACGCAGGACACTCGGATCCTTCTGCAGACAAGCTTTAATGCATCTTGAGAGTGGAGAGCATAAGCTTACCAGAGCGGAGACCCTGAACCAAGAAACCCATCCCTTAATAAAGGCTGGCAAGCAGCCGCCTGGGACGTGTTACCCTATGAATGGCTTCAGCTCCTCAGGCCAAATGAGCCACGGGATAGGCAGAGATCAAAGGAATGGA